CCGTGAGATACACTTAAAAAAAAAAAACTTAAAAAAAAAAAAAAAAGATCAGACTTGTTTCTCAGTCAGTTAACATAGATTTACTGCGCAGTTAAATCATCTTACTGCTACTGCTTCCAGCTTTGCCAAATAGCATTGCTCGGATATTTACTCCACACTAAGTGAACTTTTCTTGTTTTTTTCCCTTTTCAAACCACTTTCAGACCTTGCGCCGTTAATTCGATAAACTGCTCCGTCAGTTCATCAACTGCTCGGCTGGAAAAAATAAAAAAAGATAAGACTTATTTAAAGTTATTTTATTTTGTTTCTGAGCTAGGCCGCTGGACAAACTCACTGCTTACTGCTTGGTTTAGTCCATTCTTTTTTTTTTTTTTTAACTGCACAGTTCACTAGACCTCCTCTTTTTTCAAAACGAAAACTCAGTTTTTTGCTCAGTTAAGTAGACACAATTTTACACCGCTCCAAAAAAAAAAAAAAGAAACGCACGAAATTGAGAATAGAATAGCAAGGAACCGTTCATATCATTCTAAACGTGCTAGCATCTTCACACCATCGACCGCCGGTCATTATAGCTGTATCTAGACCGAAACTTGCACCAAATACAGCTATAACGACCAACTGTTCTATTCAGGTGAAGGCGGTAGTACTCTATTTTTGTATTATTATTTCATTTGGTTTCTATGTATTTCAAATTTTAAAGTATTTAGGTGCACTACATTTCCTATTCTTTTTCTCAAGGTGTTGCTCCTCTTTTTGTTCATAAAGGTCTCATCTTTTTTAAGGTGTGGCGTCTTTTTTTGTTCAGACAGGCCTCATCTTGGCCTCTATGTCTCGTTCAACGGATCTACCCTTGGATTTTTCCTTCACTGGCTATGTGTTGTTCCCAGAGAATGGATGCCACCGGATCCGCCATTCTATTGACTGTCGGACAGAGATGAGCAACGGTACCCAGACCCACACCCACCCGCACCCACCCCACCCACGAGGCATTGGATCAGGTGTGGGTCTTGATAAGCTGGCATTGGTGGGATGAGGGCGGGTCTAGGCGAGCAAGCCTGGGTGGGCGAGTCAATGTTAGGCCAGAGTCACCCGAATGGGTGGGTGACAAGCGTGTGAGCACTACGCCTGGGTCACCCGACCCACAGACCCAGGACAACCCATAAGAACCCTCCCCCCCACCCCCCCACCCCCCTTTACACACATTTCCCAGCTGCATTCCATCTGTGGACTTCAAAGGTTCCAGGCCCAGGAAACGGAAAGTCTCCACCCTGGGGCCACTGGGAAAAAAAGTTGTGGTCCTAGAAAAAAGGAGCCGCGGCAGTGGCAAATCGAAATTTGGGGTCCTTGAAAAAATGCGTCACGCTCTACCAGTGGCAGCTGGACCACGCCCCAAAAAGCCGGATGTTCGCTCCCATTAGAACGACGGGGATCGAACCTAACCACAGCAAGTGGCAAGCCTTAGGTTCACTACCCAATTTCAAACTTGTGGAGCGATTCGAATTTCCGCAGGCAGAGATGCTTCAAAGTCTTGCACCGTCATCCAAGGACGTCATGTTGCTACGGTGGTGCAAATGTTCGAAGCGACCGAGACAATGGGGAATGGGCGGGTGCGGGTGGAAAATAATTAGGTACCGGGTGCGGGCGGGTAATTTTGTTCTCGCGGGTGTGGGCGGGTAATTTTGTTCTCGCGGGTGTGGGCGGGTCAGGGTGAAGGTTTTTTACGGGTGACGTGCAGGCTGGGTGTGGGAGGAAATCTTCACAAAAACACTCGGGTGGGTTGGGTCACCTTGAGATTTTTTGTTTTTGCTTTTTTTGAGGGTGAGCTGTGCTTAAAAATTATGGGCCGGTTGGGTGAAGTGCCATTTCAAAAAAAAAAAGCTCATCTCTGCTGTCGGACCTTTCCTAGGCTTTGGGAACACATCGGCAATAGCCAGTGACGTGCTATGCTCGCACCGCAGCATAAGTTAGATCACAAACCTAATAAGTGCTCAGTAATCAAACTGCGGCAACAGTGGGCAGCACGCCTAGCTCAATTGGTTGAGTGGTATTCAGGAGGTCGGTCGTGGGTTCAATCTCCCAGGGCCGCCTGGTGCTGGCTCGGTGTTCACTAGCTGAAATAATTTGTCTTGCCCCCCCAAGCGGGTCTTGGTAGGAGCCTAGGATTCCCTCCATTGCCACTGTCATTCCTCACTGAGGGTTTGTAGCCAAGGTACTACTCCCTGCATAGAGTAGAGTAGATAGCCGGTCCTGCTGCTTAGGATATGGAGGCCAGATAGCGTGACCTATAGGTAGCTGTTGGGAGGTAAACAATTTGAGAGAAGAATATAGGTTCGTTTTGAAAAAGAAACTGCGGCAACAGAGCTTCAGAACAGGGCAAGAAAGGAGGAGGGGGGGCCGCCAAACACACACACGCGGAAGGAAAAGAGAGAGAGAGAGAGAGAGAGAGAGAGAGAGAGAGAGAGAGAGAGAGAGAGAGAGAGAGAGAGAGAGAGAGCTAATTCTTGCTCCCCATCCTCCTCCTCCCTTTCCTTCTGCTACCTACTTTTTATGCTTCGCCTACTTATTATTATTATTATTATTATTATTATTATTATTATTATTATTTAATTATTATTATTATTCATTATTTACTAATATTCCTGGGTTTTCGTCTCCCCAACCAAGGGGACAGGAAGGAAAACCAACTGGCCTAGCTCAGTCCGTACACCCCTGAACTGAACTGAACTGTTGAAATGCAGACCTGAGTTTGAACTCCACTCGAAGCAGATGAAGCAGATGAGTAACATACTGCATATTTGAATTACCTACGGCCGGTAAGTCTAAATGATGATATCTCAAGGCCATTGCCCGTTTTGAAAAATAAAAAAGAAGCAAGAAAAAGGAAAGAGACCCTTAAAGAAAACGACGCTGCTCGGACAGTTGAGGTCAAAACGGTGTCGGGAAAAAAAAAAAACGGTGTCGGCCCCCCTTCCTCCATCAACCCCCCCTTCCTACATCCCCCCCTTCTTCCTCCCCCACTCCTTTTTTCATCGCCCCACCACACCTCCCAAGCGAAGCTCCAAGACAGAACACCCCTTCCTAAAGCTCCCAGACAAAACACCACCTTCCTATGGTTTCGCCCTCCTTTCCTTTCATCCTGTGTGGAGGGATAGATAGACAGATAGACAGGTAGACAGGTAGATACATAGACACACAGATAGATAAGATAAGATAAGATAAGATAAAGGGTTTTACTCCAAACAAAACAAAAAAAGATTTGATCCTACTGCAATGACTTCCCCAGAACCAGTCAATCAAACCTTAGTTAGTGGCGCAGCTAACTAAGGTTTGATTGACTAATTTGAGTCAAAATCAGAATAAATTTACCATAAGATAAGATGTTATTATGCACTAAATTGAGATACCAATTGAACATAACAAGGTGTAGTGCAGTCTGGTCGCCCATCTGTTTTGGGTACACAGACTCTCTCTCTCTCTCTCTCTCTCGTAGGCAGAGAGGGAAAGGAGGACAAGAAACGAGGGGCTGTGACAAACTGTTTCGACGGAGTTTCCCCGACTGACTCATCAGGAGGCTGAACCCTATACATATAGTACATAGTCTGAGTGTCAATGGGCGTCGCCGCCGGGACACGAAACGAAAAACGAAACGAGTGCATCTTCCTGCAGAAAATGGCCAGGCTCATCGGTTTGCTATAAATAGGAACGAGTGTATTTTGCCACCCTTCGTGGGCAGATGCACTGGTTTCGATTTCCTTTCGTGTGCCGTGCGGCGAGACCCAATGTATAGATGTCTGGGCGAACGGGCGCAAGAAGATCTTGGATCAGATACATACCTCGAAGACTGCGTGGATATAACAAGGGGGTATGGTATACTCACCTACAGATTTTTTACAATGTATCTGACCACAAAAAGGTCTCAATCAGTTTGCGAAAAGTCCTACCGTAATATGAGTAAACAAGGGGGGACCACGTTTCACCAATCAGCTTCCGATGACTATCATTCGATTTTGTTGTTGTTTTTTTCCCGTAACTGAAGGGGTAATCGACATACAAGTTGATCATCGAAAGATGGCCTACCTACGTCTTCACCCGAATAGAACGTTCGGTCATTATAGCCGTATTTGGCACAACTTTCAGTCCATATGCAGCGATAATGACCAGGCGTTCTATTCGAGTGAAGACGGTAGTGCTTGGGTACATCACAGTGGCGTTGAAATTGGAACGATACAGGCAATAATAAAATGCCCGCTTACAAGAAAGGAAGAAAAGAAAAAAGAAAGGCCTACCGTAGAAGCAGACAGACAAGTGTAAAATGGCCGCTTACAAGGAAGGCAGAGGAAGGGGAAAAAAAGGGGAAAAAAAGGGGAAAAAAAGGGGAAAAAAAGGGGAAAAAAAGGGGGGGGGGGGGAAGGAGGGCCTACACTAGATGCAGATCCCGTTTGACAGATAATGGATCGGCTGCAAAATGTGGGCTACCCAGAGCATCCGAATTTTTTTTATTTTCATTTTTATTTTTCTTGTTCGGTTTCTTTTTCTTTCTTTTCTTTTCGAAGTCCCCTGCTGGACGCGGCATAAAGAAAAGGCAAACAGAGGGGAACGAGAGGAAAATTAAAAACGGAGAAGAATAAGAGAGAGAGAGAGAGAGAGAGAGAGACATGCGAGTTAAAAAGAAGCGCGAAGGAGGAGGGAGATGGGGGCGCAGGGATGAGTACAAGGGGAAGAACGAAAACGAAAACGAGAGAGAGAGAGAGAGAGAGAGAGAGAGAGAGAGAGAGAGAGAGAGAGAGAGAGGCGGCATTGTAAGCAAATACAGTGTTCTTGTGGTCACGATCTGTTGAGATTCGGTTTCTTTTTTCATTTTATTTTTAAAAATCAAATCAAACTAAATAAAAAAGTAACTAACATTTTGGGACTTTTTTTTTTTTTAAGAAAAAAATAAATAATTTAAATAAACGAGAGAGGCGAGAAGGAGGACGGGGGGAGGAGGGTATAAGACGTACCGAATGCACAGTGAACGAAGACCCCTTTTCCCTGCGCCTGCATTGCTAGGGCCCAATTGACTCCGATCTCGATATTCTCTCTTGATGGGGATCTCGTATCCCAAGTAGGAAGACAGATGTAAGCACGGGAGGAAACGAAGTCACACCTGGGAAGCTCACAAGTACAGTCGATGACAGCCACGTCAGAAGGAGGCAAGTACTTGGGTTTGTAAGGCCACCCACCCACATACCACCCGCTGCCTATCTTGGAATAAGCGGGTTCATTAGTAGCACGGCGTCGAAGAGCCACGTAAGCACGAAGGCCAAGATGATAAGGGAAGAAGATCAAGAGAGACCATTTCGGGAACTTCCCGTCTCGGCCTTTCCCCAGCACAGAGGGCACATTAAGCGATCGGGATGCCATCAGCGCTACAGAAATCAAGACACACACTGTGTACAGATGCACCACAAGGTACCATATCGGCACTGTCTCCGGTAATGACCGATACATATACAATAAAACCACTGTCACTCCCGACAAGATCAACGACAACCCCATCTCTCTCTCTCTCTCTCTCTCTCTCTCTCTCTCTCTCTCTCTCTCTCTCTCTCTCTCTCTCTCTCTCTCTCTCTCTCTCTCTCT